TATATATATATATATAACGAAACCCACATCTAAGTCCTTGGAGCATAGTAGGTGCCTAGCCAGCATTGGCTCCTGGTTGGGGGACTGTGGATTCCTAGTCCTCACATCTGCAGCATCCTGCACAGGTAGGGCAGACATCTGGACAAGAGAAGCCACAAATGAGGGAGCTGGAGATCAGTCAAGAAAATTTGTCTTTAACCAGAGAAGGATTTAATTTTTGTAATACATAACAAGTGTTTTGGTGTTAGCCTCACCCCTAAACAGATAGAACTGCCCTTGTCAAGGCAGGGTTGGGGGATGAGGGGAGGGTGGCCCTGGAAGCTGGAGAGCTGGGCAGTACCCCACCCCTGGGGCCCCTCATTTAGGAGGGGCATCCCATGAGCTGATCTGACTGCATGACTGTGCTGCTGCTGCCTCTCTCTTCCACAAAGGCTGAGCATTTGGGTGGTTTCCAGTTTTGCATCACTACAAGTAACAGAACTCTAGGAATTTATGTGCAAATACTTTTCTCCCCAACTCACTTCCTTCCAAGCAGGATTCCTGCAGCAGGAGGTGCTGGCTTTCACTTTCTGTGGTCTTGGCTGCCGGTGTCCTTGGCAGGACAGGGGTGTGCCCTGTCCTGCCATGGATGGGCAGCTTTGTGTCTCTGTCGGCCTGCACCTATCTCTCTTGTCTTCATTCTTGACTAAATTTCAGTTGAATTTCTTCTTTTTCTTTTTTTCTTTGAGACAGAGTCTCGCTCTGTCGCCCAGGCTGGGGTGCACTGGTGCAATCTTGGCTCACTACAAGCTCCGGGTTCATGCCATTCTCCTGCCTCAGCCTCCTGAGTAGCTGGGACTACGGGCGCCCGCCACCACGTCTGGCTAATTTTTTTGTATTTTTAGTAGAGATGGGGTTTCACTGTGTTAGCCAGGATGGTCTCAATCTCCTGACCTCATGATTTGGTCTCCCAAAGTGCTGGGGTTACGGGCATGAGCCACTGCCCCCAGCCTAATTTCAGTTGAATTTCTTCTAAACGTCAGGGTGTGACATTTGCCTTTTCTTTTCACTTAGTGCCCCTTTCTCAAGAGTAACATCCCCTCCGCATTCAACATTTATTTGCACAGCAGGTTCCTTCTGGAGCCAGAATGCAACCCCTCATCTGTTACCTTAGATCTACCACCCTGCCCATGTACCTGGAGATCTGGTCCATGTCCAGGTGGGGTACTGTTGGGTAGAAGGGGAAAATCAGGCCTCCATCTCCCCTCAGAGAACATACTGGAGTCTCATGGTGGCCAGATCACCAGTGACAGCATTCATTGGCGGTCGTCAGTAGAGTTATTATTGGTCATCCAGCTACCAGGCCTGGGCAGAACTGTGGGGCCACCCCCTAGAGCAGCCTCCTCTGCTGGCTCTGGGTAAGACACTTGGCAAGCTCCATCTCCCCACTGGGGTCCCTAGAGGAACCCAAAGCACTAGGGCATCTGGCTTCTGGGCCGGGGCAGGCAAAGTTGTGGCCATGGACTCAGATGGCTCCTCGCCTTGTGTGCAGAGGCCCTCCCTCCCTAACCCTGCTATCTCGGGCTTTTATTAGCTCCAGTTAGGCAAACAGAAGCACCCCAGTGCAATATGCATATAATTGCTATGTCCTCAGCAGCCTATTAGGCTTATTAAAAATGATTGATTTTTCTTTCCTCAGCCAAGAATCATCCAGCCCTTGGCTTTCCAGGCTGTGGTGAGGCTGACAGTAAAAACTAACAGGTCTTTTGAAAAGCAGTATATTTCCTGAGCTCCTAAAATGCTCATGCCCTTTGGCCTGATAATGATATTCCTAGAATTGTAGCCTGAAGAAACAGTCTAAAAGAGGAGGGAAGGCCAGGCACAGTGGCTCACGTCTGTAAGCCCAACCCTTTGGGAGGCCAAGGCTGGCAGATCACTTGAGGGCAGGAGTTTGAGACCAGCCTGGCCAACATGATGAAACCTCATCTCTACTAAAAATACAAAAATTTGCCGGGCATGGTGGCCGGTGCCTGTAGTCCCAACTACTTGGGAGGCTGAGGTAGGAGAATCGCTTGAACCTAGGAGGTGGAGGTTGCAGTGCGCTGAGATTGTACCACTGCACTCCAGCGTGGGCGACAGAGCAAGACGGAAAAAAAAAAAAAATAGGAGGGAAAGGCAATGTATGTGAAGGTGCTCACAACAGCTTACTTTACAATAACGGAAAAGCTGACAGCAGGAGAAGTGTCTGGGCTAAGTACATTGCAGCCCACCTCTTCCACAGGTTATTGTACAGCCAGTAAAAAGAGTCATAATGAAGGTAATGCAAAGTGACGAAAGCCTGTGAGCAAGAAAAAGACATGTTCAGGCTGTGGTCAGAACTCTTGGAAAAAAAAAAAAAAAAGTTTGCCTATGGACAAGGATAGTCATAGAGTGTGGATAAAAGGCAACAGGTGGTTTATTAGGATGGTAGGATCCTGGGTGGCTTTCTTAAAATGATGAATGATGGAATTGATAGTGTTTTTCAACACAATGCTGGGCAAATCCCCACCAACATTGGATCACAGCATCCAGAACCATCCATCCCCTTTTCTGGCACCTTCTGCCACCTGTATCAGAGACAGACATACACATGTGCATGCACACATGTGGGTCAGCAGAGTGTCCTCATTCATTTTTGAGTCCCACAGTTCTAAGTACACAGTAGTGTCTGAGTGCTTTTGATTAGGTTATCCTCATAATCCAAGGATGTGTCCCTTACAGCTTGGGTGACCAGAGATTTCTACTACCTGTGTACATTCACTGGCAAGTCACCATCCTATCCTCTAGCTTTATCTTACCTTCCCACTGCGATTATTTTTAGGGATTTGTGTGTACTGCACTGGAAATATGGCAAACGTCCCCACTCCCCCATCAGACTTCATGATTCCTACACACACTGGGCTCTCACTCATCCCAGCTTCCTTTCCCCTGGTGGCTTTGAGAGCATAAATTTTATTGCCAGCTGTGGGTTTGGGTCCTACACAGAACACCTCCCTTGAGAATTTGCAACTAAGATGTTTATGGCAATTGCCCTGCAAGTGTCTATTTAATTCCTGAAAATGTCATTTACTGGTGTGTTTCTGTAAAAATCATTTCTGAAAAGTTTTGTCAGCTTGGCTTAGCAGCTGGGGGAAAAAAGCAGCAAAATGAGTCCCCTCAATCAAGCCTGTGATTTTTCATTTTTTCAGACTTATGAATCCTCCTGAGAATTAGGCTTGTGACAAGCACCCACCCCCTCCACCTCCTCCCTGGTTTAAACCAGGTGCATGCTGTCAGGAAGGAAGATTCCAGGGCATTTTGCTCCCAGTCACACAGTGTTTCTAAGTGGGCATTACTCCTGTCAATCCAGAGTCTTTTTTTTTTTTTTTGAGACGGAGTCTTGCTCTGTCGCCCAGGCTGGAGTGCAGTGGCACGATCTCCGCTCACTGCAAGCTCCGCCTCCCGGGTTCACGCCATGATCCTGCCTCAGCCCCCTGAGTAGCTGGGACTATAGGTGCCCGCCACCACACCCGGCTAATTTTTTTGTATTTTTACTAGAGACGGGGTATCACTGTGTTAGCCAGGATGGTCTCCATCTCCTGACCTCATGATCCACCCACCTCGGCCCCCCAAAGTGCTGGGATTACAGTCATGCCTTATGTACAGTGCCCAGCCTCAATCCAGAGTCTTAAAGATGTTACTCAGACGAAAGATAATTGGCGACAAGAAGGCCCACTGGATTCCATGTCACGTCTTAGTTGGCGGGCCAGAGAAGGACAGGATCTCTGGTTGGGGCCATGTCTCCCATTGCACTCTCCCTTTGCAGGTGCTGGAGTGAAGAAGGCCCACAGCTCATCCAAGCCTGTGGGGTGCCTCCCTCCTGGGCCACTCCCTCCCTGGCCATTAGGAGAACCAGGAAGCCTTTACTTAGAGACTCAGGGTTCAGAAGAGGGAACTGGGAAGTCACTGGGAAATGTTCCAGCTTGGAGGAGGTGACCCTGCTGCTGAATCTGACCCCTTATGCTATTACCTAAGTTCCTTTCTTGTTTACTGGCCCTGAAATCTCCCACTTTGGAGATTGCCTTGTAAGGCAGCACAGCAGGGTAGGAGAGTTAGGGTAGGGTAGGTAGAGCCTGCGCTCAGCCCTCACAGGCCCTGACAAGCCCGCCAGGCCCCTGGCTCCCTTCTGGCATTCACCAGGAGAGGTTCTGCCCAGCCCAGCAGGTGGGTTCCAGGAGAAGGGATGGAGGCGGGAAGTGGTGGTTATGGAACTCCTACCACTTGGATCTTCACCTGCATGGGTCATTCAGTCTTCATAGTCTTCTTTTGAGGACATTTCAGAAAACGAAACTGAGACTCAGGATGAGGATTTGATCCAGGGCTGCCAATTCGTCTGACAGAGCGCAGCCACGTGTCTTATGCCTGCAGCAGGCCCTTCCCAGAGGCTATTCAGGCCAGGGCAAGGTGCTGAGGACAGGCTGGCCTGCTTGCAGGTTTGGGCTGTGACCAGTGAGTCTCCTGGCTGTCCCCACCACCAGCCCAGGAAAGCCTGCAGCCAGGCCAAGCTCAGGGCTGAGCATCCACTGAGTCTGGCTGGAAAGTCGGCAACCTGGTTCCTCTTGGTCTTCTCTTACAGCGAGTCCCTGTGGCCCATCGAGGCCAGAAACGCAGCCATTGCCAATCACTGCTTCACCTGCGCCATCAATCGCGTGGGCACCGTAAGTCCCAAGGTCTGGCTGGGGGGAGGAGCCACCCCCTGGTGGCCCTGGTGGGGACACCACGTTCCCTCTGCACACATCCACAAATCCTAGGGTCCGGAAAGGGGTAAAACTGGCTTGGTCTGTTACTTTTTCAAGATCTCTCTGTCCTCTTGTTTCTTCTGTTTTTGTATTTGGCTGAAGCCATTTTGAAAAGATCTTTGACATGGCAGTTCTCACCCTGTCACGTCCAAATGTCCAGTGTATTTTCCCCCTTGACCCCATACACTAAACAGTTTTGACTGCCAAACAGAATGCACTTATTATATCTCTTCCTCATCCTTATTAATCAGATATCAAACTCTAATCAGAGGATCTTTTCAGTCTGAGATAACCAAGGTTTCCACACTAAGTCGATCTGACTTTAGCGGCATAAAGAAACCTGATGTTTTGACTGGGTGTGGTGGCTCATGCCTGTAATCCCAGCACTTTGGGAAGCCGAGGCTGGCAGATCACCTGAGGTCAGAAGTTTGAGACCAACCTGGCCAATGTGGCAAAATCCTGTCTCTACTAAAAATATAAAAATTAGCAGGGCAGGCTGGCACGTACCTGTAATTCCAGCTACTCAGGAGGCTGGGGCATGAGAATAGCTTGAACAAGGAGGCGGAGGTTGCAGTGAGCCGATATCGCACTACTGCACTGCAGCCCGGGTGACAGAGTGAGACTCTGTTGCCCCTAACCCTCCCCAAAAAGCCAGATGCAATGGCTCACGCCTGTAATCCCAGCACTTTGGGAGACCGAGACAGGTGGATCACCTCAGGTCAGGAGTTCGAGACCAGCCTGGCCAACATGGAGAAACCCTGTCTCTACTGAAAATACAAAAAATTAGCCGGATGTGGTGGTAGGCGCCTGTAATCCCAGCTACTAGGGAGGCTGAGGCAGGAGAACTGATTGAACCGGGAAGATGGAGGTTGCAGTGAGCCAAGGTCACGTCATTGCACTCCAGCCTGAGCAACAAAAATGAAACTCCGTCTCCAAAATAAATAATAAAATAAATAAAAATAAAAGAAACCTCATGTTTTAGTTAGCCTGTGTAACCCCATCACAGGTTGATGTACAGTTTCCATTAGGCTTTGGGGGAAATACTGAAAGCAGTGTGTGTACCCGCCCACTGCCTTCACAGACCCTGGCCTGGGGTTTTTAATTACTTCAGGCCAGCCTCAGGTGCCCACAGCCCTGAGGACCAGTTTGTGCCCAGTGTCTTTCTCTTGTCTCAGATTATAAACTCCCCAAAGGCACCGTCCAGGTTTTTACTCTGCTTGTCAAATTCCCAGGGCTGGCTGCTCAGCAGGGGTGTTTAATAAGCGCTTAATTGCCCCGTGAGTACAGACCATTCCAGCTCACCTTAACTGTTTCCCGGCTGACTCACCTCTTGGCCTGATTGCCCTGCTCTCCTGACTGACTGAGCTGGAATGAGTGTAGTGGTAGTGCCACCTATAGGTTCCTCTTACCTTGGTCTTATTTCACAGGAGCACTTCCCGAACGAGTTTACCTCAGGAGATGGAAAGAAAGGTATGTCTCATGAACCATGGTGGCTGCAGTTGAGGAGTGGGCCTTCTTCTCCCCTTCTCTGTCTGCTTCCTCCGGTCAGGATCTGCCACATAGATCATGTCTGTGTGCCTGGCACCTAGGAGGAGGTGCCAACTCCTCTCTGCTTTATTGCCTGCAGTGTGGGAATCAGGCTGTGACTGGGGTGTGGATAGGCAGTCCTGGGCTTGAGGAGTGGGTTGGACTCCATCCATTCCCGGGACTGGTGTGAAGATGAACTGAGAGAATGTGGGGGATCCTTTGTGAGCTCTCTGAAAGGGAGAGGGGCTCTCATTCAGCCTGTGGATCTCCCTCTCCACTTTTCTTTGTCCTTGTCCCCCCTCCCCTTGCCCAAACCAGCTGTACAGATGCCACAGGGCATTGGCATGGATGCCCCTGGGTTTCTAGAGTCTATGGCTTGTTTTGATCCAAGGGCACATACCACCTCACCTCTGCTAAGAACCCTGAAGACTCCTTTCCCATGTCTCTGGCCAAGAATGAGGGAGGTAGGGACTGCCTCCCTCACCAAGGAGGTATCTGAACTAGCTCAGAGTGTCCTCTAGAAAGCTGGAAGGGGGCTGGGCACGGTGGCTCATGCCTGTAATCCCAGTACTTTGGGAGGCCAAGGCGGGTGGATCACCTGAGGTTGGAAGTTCAAGATCAGCTTGGCCAACATGGAGAAACCCAGTCTCTACTAAAAAAAAAAAAAAAAAAAATTAGCTGGGTATGGTGGCCCGTGCCTATAATCCCAGCTACTTGGGAGGCTGAGGCAGGAGAATCGCTTGAACCTGGAAAGTGGAGATTGCGGTGAGCCAAGATCGCGCCATCACACTCTAACCTGGGCAACAGGAGCGAAACTCCGTCTCAAAAAAGAAAAAAAGAAAAAAGAAAAACCAGAAGGTTCTGAGCGGATCTGTTTTCCAGGAAAACACTTCCTGAAAGGGTCGCAGATGCCCCCGCTTCAGGCCCCCGGCTTCTGGAGTTCCTGATCCTAGTTACTGCAAATAGAGGTGCAGAAAGAGCAGGGGAATGAGCATCCACTGGGTGCCTGCTGCATCTGGACCATGCTAGACCCTGCCCAGCCCCACCTCTTCCTTACACATGTGTGGGGTGGCTGCTAGTCCTCCCTGACTGGTGAAGGGACCAAGGGCTGAAGGGAGGGTGAGGGTGATGCAGGTGGCAAGGCAGATGAAGGCAGAGCCTCCAGCTCACTGTAGGGGCCCTCATAGGAAGCCCCCAGAGTGTGACCTTCTGATTTCCTTAGGCTGTGGGTGGGAGCAACACCTCTCAGAAGGGTGACATTTAGACATTTCCCCAGGGGCAAAGGCGAGCAGCATAAGGGGGCCATTTGCAGCAATTTGCTGGGCCTTCAGGCCTGAGATGAGACACAGGCCTTTTGGGCCTCAGCATTTTGCCCCTTAGCGGGGCAGGCTGGCACGCGCCTGTAATTCCAGCTACTCAGGAGGCTGGGGCACGAGAATAGCTTGAACAAGGAGGCAGAGGTTGCAGTGAGCCGAGATCGCGCCACTGCACTGCAGCCTGGGTGACAGAGTGAGACTCTGTTCCCCCCCCCGGCCTCCACCCCCCAGAAAAAGCCAGACGCAGTGGCTCACGCCTGTGATGGTATGGACCCCGTGTCCTGGGCCTGCCTGAAGGTGCCTGACCCTCTGCAGAGCCCACAGTGCATCTACACAAGCTCACAGATGTGTTTCTTTCCTCCTTTGAAGCTCACCAGGACTTTGGCTACTTTTATGGCTCAAGCTATGTGGCAGCCCCTGATGGCAGCCGGACTCCTGGGCTGTCCCGTAGCCAGGATGGACTGCTGGTTGCTAAGCTCAACCTAAACCTCTGCCAGCAGGTGAATGATGTCTGGAACTTCAAGGTAGGTCCCTAGGACCCCTGTTGTTGCCTGCCCCTCTGCTTTGGCCCTCATCCTGCTCTCAGGGCTGGGAACTGCTGTTGTGGGCTTGCCCATGGCAGCATGAGGTACCAGCTCCCACCCGAGGTCTCTGTATGAGCTGAGGGTGGAATCTCTGCCTCTTTGTTGGCTCCTGGGAGGAACAGTTGGGTCAAACAATGTACAGGCAGCAGGCTGCGATAAATTCTCCTCTCATCTGATTTAGATTCTGGGTGCCTTCAGACAAATTAATCTCAATTTCATTTGTCCAGAGAATAGAATGGATTGGCTCCTCTAATCCTTTTTCCTTTCCAGGCATTTGCACTTATCACAAGATAAATGTGCATGTCTGGTTCTGCTTGTGGCTAGTCCCTGTAGTCTAGGCCTTGACGATAGCAGGAAATGGGTCATGCAGAGAAATGGAATCTAGTGGCTCTGCCACAACCTTCCTTCCTTGGTCACCTTAATTAAGCCCCTTCTGCTCCCAAGCCTTAGTACTCCCAGTTGTAAAATAAGGGGGTTAACTCGAAGGTCACATGCTGGCTTTGACACCTAATGCCCTGTGATGTCAGGAGTCAGAGGAATGGAGGCGTCTGCCCTCCTGGGATGGGACTCCACCCTAGAAGGGCTCACAGCTTCAGAGTTTGCTGTATTAGTGTCCGAAAGTATTTCCACCAACTCAACACCCCCTTTCCTTTTTCTTGGTGGAATAGAGGGCATGGAGACAAGGTCTTGGCTCTGTCATCTAGGCTGGACCATATGGCACAACCATCGATCATGGCATCCTTGACCTCCTGGGCTCAAGCCATCCTCCCACCTCAGCCTCCCGAGTAACTGGGACTATAGACATGCACCACCACCATATCCAGCTAATTTTTAAATTTTTTATAGAGACTGAGTCTCATTATGTTGCCCAGGCTGGTCTTGAACTCCTGGCTTCAAGCAATCCTCCCACCTCGGGCTCCCAAAATACCAGGATTATAGATATAAGCCACTGTGCCCTGCCTCAGCCACCTTTTATAAGCAAATCGTATAGCAAATAAATGTCCATTGTTATAACTGACTTTCCCCGGTGTGACTGAGAGACCACCAGGGCCTCTAATCCACCCAGACATGGGCTTTTTTGGTCTTGATCCTGTTTTCTGAGCATGGTTTCCTCAGTCTCGGATCCTTGTCAGACACACAAGGTGTTGGGCATGAGAGAGTCTCCTGACCTCTCTCTCCTCTTCCTGGGCAACTAGGATGAATGTAGGATTCCACCCAAATCAGAAATCGGAGTCAAGAATGCTGGCCAACTCTTTTTAATAAGTATCCCAGGAGCAGTAAACCAAGTGTTTTCTCATTAGACACTTCTTAGAAGCAGAAGCCTTCCCAACTTTGGTAATGGGCATGAGCTCCTGTCAAGGCTTTATGGGAGTAGTCCACCTTGGGAAAGGAGGGAGGAAGGGAGTGCGTGCTGGGTGTGAGCACCCTGGGTGGGCTTTCCAACCCCACTAGGCTCTGTATCCATGATGAGATGCCACATGGAGTAGACAACTCCAGACCCATCCAGGAGCCCCTGGTTCAAATCCCAGCCTTTTCTACAACTGGCTGATGACCTGGAGCAGGTCCTCTCTGGGCTGTAGACTGCTCTTCTGGGGAGCAACAGGACCACAGGACTCCCCTTCTCCCTCCTGCCTCAGCAGACCACACTTTCCGGATAGACAGGTCGAAGAGGTCACAGAAGCCAAGACTGGGCTGTATGAGTCATCGTGGCATCTGTGAACTTTGCCACAGTACCAGAATCAGTGCCAAGAGGTCACTGTCAACGAGCCTTCCTGATGCATTCCTGTCCCATGACTGCCCTCCAGTGGCAAGAGGTGGTGGCGTGTAAGCGATGGGGATTTATAAAACCAGAACCTCTAAAGTACAAAAGTATATCTGTTTTGCTTTCAGATGACGGGCAGGTATGAGATGTACGCACGGGAGCTCGCTGAAGCTGTCAAGCCCAACTACAGACCCACCATCGTGAAAGAGTAGCCGGCTTCAGTGCCTGCCTTGGGGTGAGGAAGACACCTCTGCCCCAGTGGATTAGCAAGCGTGGCAGGCGTAACACATCCAAGTTATCCCCAATAACATTGTCCAGCTTGGCTTTAAAATCCCCAGGCAGGGGAAGGGTGGCTTGGGGAGTGACTTCTTAATAAGGGGTTTACTTCTGGGGTATTGGAAATGTTTGGGGACTAGGTAGAGGTGAATGTACTAAATGCCAGTGAATTTGTGTATACTTTAGAATGTTTCAGTTATGTGACTTTTACCTCAACTAAAAAAAAAAATGCCCAGGTACTGCTTGTGCAGGTGGATTTGAGGTTAGGCAGATGATGCTGTCCATCCTGTACACCAGTGGGAAGAGGTTGAAGGCTGATCCAGAGACCCTGAGCCTACAGCAAGGCTGTGGTGAGTGGGATGGTCTTTGGATGTGTCGGCTTAGCTAGACGACAGTCCCGAGTAATTCAGTCAGACACTAATCTAGGTATTGCTGTGAAGGTATTTTGTAGATATGACAAAAGTCCATTCCCAGTCGACTACGTAAGTGAGATTATCTCAGATAATCTGGGTCAGCCTGACCTGATCAGTCAAAAGGCCTAAAGAGCAGAGCTAAGGGCTTCCCTGAGGAAGAAATTCTGCCTGTGGACAGCAGCCCAGCGCTTGGCGAGAGTTCCTGACAGCCTGCCCCTCCTGATAGCCTGTCTTACAGAGTATAGACATGACTAGCCACTTCTACAATCACTGAAGTCAATTCCTTGCAATAAATCTCAATATATGCCCTACTGGTTCTGCTTCTCTAGTTGAATCTGACTGATACAGATTTTGGTGCCAGAAGTGGTTCTAAACAAATAGAATCTTAAAGATGAGTTTTCTGCATTGGTTCTGGATTTTTTAGAATTCTTCTCTAGTTTGATTGAACTTAAAGGCATTAATGACTCTATTTCCATAGAGTCAGGGTAAAGAGGGTAGTTGGTAGTCCACAGCATGGTGCAGCAATAGTAATTTATGTGCGAGGCCAGCCATCAGCCTGTGCCCAAAGTTCCAGCTTGCCCTTTCTGATGGCTTGTCCTGTGGATATCAGACTTGCCTGACCAGATTCCATCATCATAGAAGGTCATTTGTTGCACTAAATCCTTTTATATCTCTATCCATCACCTACTAATTCTGCTAGTTCTGCTAATGTGGTTGAGCTCCGTTTTACACATCAGATTACTCACCTCTCTACACCCTGGTTTTCACATCTGTCAAATGGAACTGGGCCAGGGGCGGTGGCTAATGCCTGTGATCCCAGCAGTTTGGGAGGCTGAGGCGGGTGGATCACTTGAGGTCAGGAGTTCAAGACCAGCCTGGCCAACATGGTGAAACCCCATCTCTACTAAAAATACAAAAATTAGCCAGGCATGGTGGCGCATGCCTATAATCCCAGCTACTCAGGAGGCTGAGGTATGAGAATTGCTTGAATCCGGGAGGCAAAGGCTGCAGTGAGCCGAGATCACGCCACTGCGCTCTAGCCTGGGCAACAGAGTAAGAGCCTGTCTCCAAAAAAAAAAAAAAAAAAGAAAGGGACCATATTCCTGTTTTACGTCAAGACAGTGGTAAAAGACAGATTAGATGGGCCAGGGAGCCCCTTGGCAGTTTTCAGTGCCGTGCCTATTTAGCCCTGTCCTTGCACAACACAGCAAGTGCCCAATCTGCCAAGTCTCAAACAGCAGTTGACCAGAGTATCGAGTTGGGGGGTGGGGTCGAGATTCTGTAATTCCCCACTTACTGTTCCCAAATCAGAGAAGGCAGTCTCATCCCTTCACTGGCCCAGCAACTGAATTATATGGAAACCTCCACGGCAGGGCTAGGGTTCTCCTGGACAGCCACCAGGGATGAGAAACCCTGATGGAGCTGCCTGGCCACAGCTCTGCAGTAACTTCCTTGAACTCTCTGTGCTGCAGGTTTTCACTTTACCTAATGGCTTCCTTGTACCTTTAAAAAAAAATTCCAGTCCCACAGACACGGTGAGCTTTTTTTGCCTGGTCCTTTAGCTTTCAAAACCTTAGTGTCAGCCAAGGCAGGCAGATCACAAGGTCAAGAGATGGAGACCATCCTGGCCAACATGGTGAAATCTCATCTCTACTAAAAATACAAAAATTAGCTGTGCGTGGTGGCGCACGTCTGTAGTCCCAGGTACTTGGGGGGCTGAGGCAGGAGAATCGCTTGAACCTGGGAGGCGGAGGTTGCTACAAGCCGAGATCGCACCACTGCACTCCAGCTTGGCAACAGAGCGAGACTGTCTCAAAATAATAATAATAAAAAAACTTAGTGTCTTTGGTTTCTAGAAAGAGGGTGTAATCAACCTAATACACAAGCTAGCTTAGGTGACAAATTGGTGCATTTGTGAAATAGGCATGAATAAATGCACCACAACTCTTTGATTATTGCAACTCTCATTGCCTGGAAACAGAACAGTCAGGCCCATCTTAGAGTAGGCAGGCCCTGCACAGGCAGGGTCATTTCAGGGTTTAGTGCATCCCTGGAACATGTAGATGCTCAGTAAACATTTGAATGAATCTGTGGTGGAGGTTTTTGTTTCCTTGTGATCATTGCTGATGTCATGGGGCAGTCTCTCAGACAAGAAATTGCAATGGTTCAGTGTACATGGCCGGTAGGCCCATGGGCCCCTGTAATCTTGGATGATGCCTTCTGACCCCTCAGTTTTCTCACCGGTAAGATGACAGGTGGCTGGGCTCAAGAATTTCTCCCTAGAAATTCTCAGTTCTGGCAGGCCACCTTCCTGCCAGGCTACAGCTTTATTGCTGGAATCTGGGGTGGAGTAGCTGAACTTCAGTGTGCCCAAAAGAAAAAAAGGAGGCTGTGCACAGTGGCTCACATCTGTAATCCCAGCACTTTGAGAGGCTGAGGCAGAGGGATCGCTTGAGCTCAGGAGTTCAAGACCAGCCTGGGCAACAGAGACCTTGTCTCTATAAAATTAAAAACAAAATTAATAATAGAAAAAAAGAAAAGGGCTAAGGCATTATTAAATATAGACCAGACCACATTTTAGGCCACAAAAAAGACTCAGTGAACTTAAAGATTAAAGTCATAAAAGTGTATTTTCCCATCACAATGGAACAAAACTAGAAATCAGTAGCAAAGGGAATACTGGAAATTTTTAAAAATTAAACAACGACCGGGCGCGGTGGCTCATGCCTGTAATCCCAGCACTTTGGGAGGCCGAGGCGGGTGGATCACGAGGTCAGGAGATCGAGACCATCCTGGCCCACATGGTGAAACCCTGTCTCTAATAAAAATACAAAAAATTAGCCGGGCGTGGTGGTAGGCGTCCATAGTCCCAGCTACTCATTAGGCTGAGGCAGGAGAATGGCGTGAACCTGGGAGATGGAGCTTGCAGTGAGCCCAGATCGCGCCACTGCACTCCAGCCTGGGCAACAGTAGACACATCTCAAAAAAAAAAAAAAAAAAAAGATAATTAACACACTTTTTGTTTTCTGAGACAGAGTCTTGCTATGGCACAATCGTGGCTCACTGCAATCTCCGCCTCCCGGGTTCAAGTGATTCTTGTACCTCAGCCTCTCGAGTAGCTGTGACTACAGGTACATGCCACCGTGCCTGGCTAATTTTTGTATTTTTAGTAGAGACAGGATTTTGCCATGTTGGCCAGGCTGGTCTTGAACTCCTGGTCTCAAGTGATCTGCCTGCCTCAGCCTCCCAAAGTGATGGGATTACAGGTGTCAGCTACCCCTCCTGAACAACAACACACTTTTAAAAAACCAATGGATCAAAAAAGAAATCATAAGGAAAGTTACATATCTTGAGACACATGAAAACAAAAACACACCAAAACCTATGGGATGCAGCAAAAGCAGTGCTGAAAGAAACTTATAGCTATAAATGCTTACATTTAAAAAGAAGAGTCTGGGCACGGTGGCTCACACCCATAATTCCAGCACTTTAGGAGGCTGAGGTGGGAGAATCGCCTGGCCCCTCTACAAAAAATTAAAAAATTAGCCAGGGATGGTGGTGCACACCTGTAGTCCCAGCTATTCCAGAGGCTGAGGTGAGAGGATTGCTTGAGCCCAGGAGTTTGAGGCTGCAGTGAGCTATGATGGCACCACTGTACTTTGGCCTAAGCAGCAGAGCAAGATCCTGTCTCTTAAAAAAAAAAAAAAAATCAGCAACTGAACTATACACATTATTTATACATTAAGACACTAAAAAAAGAGCAAATGAAAGATCTAACAGAAGGAAGCCAATAAGAACAGAGCTAAAGAATAGAAAAAGAAAGAACAAGAAAAAGTCAACAAAATCAAAAGTTGCTTCTTCAGAAAGATCAACAAAATTGACAACCTTTAGCTAGATTAAGAAAAAGACTCAAATTACTAAAATGAGAAATGAAAATCAGGACACTACTACCAATTCTACAGAAGTAGAAAGGATTATAAAGTACTACAGACAGTTGTATGGAAACAAACTGGATACCCTAGATTAAATGGGCAAATTCCAGCGGGGCGTGGTGGCTCACATCTGTGATCCCAGCACTTTGGGAGGCTGAGGTGGGTGGATCACTTGAGGTCAGGAGTTTGAGACTAACCTGGCCAACATGGTGAAACCCTGTCTCTACTAAAAATACAAAAATTAACTGGGTGTGGTGGCATGCACCTGTACTCCCAGCTACTTGGGAGGCTGAGGCATGAGAATCACTTGAACCCGAGAAACAGAGGTTGCAGTGAGCCAAGATTGTACCACTGCACTCCAGCTTGGGCAACAGAGTGAGATTCTGTCTCAAAAACAAATCAGTGAATGAGTAAATGAATGAATAGGCAAATTCCTAAAAACAAAACCTACCAAGACTGAGTCATGAAGAAATATTAGAAAGCACAAACTTCAAATCAAAAACTGAATAGTCAAGAGATTTGACTCTGTTTGCAAGCTAAGTTAGCCTACTGCAGTTTCACAGATGCTCACAGAAGACATACTTTTTTTTTTTTTTTTTTTTTTTTTTTTTTAAAAGAGACGGAACCTCGCTCTGTTGCCCAGGCTGATGTGCAGTGGTGTAATCTCAGCTCACTGCAACCTCCGCCTCCCGGGTTCAAACGATTCTCCTCCTTCAGCCTCCTGAGTAGCTGAGATTACAGGCTCCTGCCACCACACCCAGCTAATTTTTGTATTTTTAGTAGAGATGGGGTTTCACCATGTTGGCCAAGCTGGTCTCAAACTCCTGTCCTCAGGTGATTCACCTGCCTTGGCCTCCCAAAGTGCTGGGATTACAGGTGTGAGTCACTGCACCCAATTAGACAAGACACTCTTGGGTCAGATACAAAGGACAGTTTATTACAGCAATAGTAATAGCCAGAGTACCAGCATTTTCTTACAGCCATTTCCCAAGCCTAGTTCCCATAGGGCAACACAAAGAGGACCAAGTGAATCCTGCACATGCAGTGGGTTTTACTGAGGAAAGGAGGAGGGAAGAGAGCTAACAGAATTTGTGTCTTTTATATTGGATGGTTGGTATGCCTTCCCTTTGCACTAACGGGAGGCATTATCTCCACCAAGGTCACAAGAACACCTGTCCTTTGCTCTATGGATGCAAAGCACCTGTGTCTGTCTTCCAAGGCCATACCAGCTTCCTTGAAAAGATAGTCCAGAACAAAGGCCTTCATAGTTTTAGCTGGCAAGACACATACAGAAATGTGAGAGACCTGTGCAGAATTATCTCCCAATAATATCCACCCCTCATTTCTATACTGTCTTGGCTTCTGACAGTTTTCTTATG